GGTCTCACGAGCATTATTGAGGTCTCACGAGCATTATTGAGGTCTCACGAGCATTATTGAGGTCTCACGAGCATTATTGAGGTCTCACGAGCATTATTGAGGTCTCACGAGCATTATTGAGGTCTCACGAGCATTATTGAGGTCTCACGAGCATTATTGAGGTCTCACGAGCATTATTGAGGTCTCACGAGCATTATTAAGGTCTTACGAGCATTATTAAGGTCTTACGAGCATTATTAAGGTCTTACGAGCATTATTAAGGTCTCTGGAGCATTATTGAGGTCTCAGGAGCATTATTGAGGTCTCAGGAGCATTATGTATGCAGTTTTTACCGTTACCTGTGGCAGGTGGCTACCGTTATCTGTGGCAGGTGGCTACCGTTACCTGTGGCAGGTGGCTACCGTTACCTGTGGCAGGTGGCTACAGGTGACGGATCTCCCAGTCCTGAGTACTCCATGGGTAGCTGTGTTAAACGAAAAAACCCGACTTGCTGGGATTCGAAGGTGGGCGCATCAGTTGCCCGCGGTCCAGCTACTCTGACGGACACTATCGCGTCTCTTCTTCCACTTCTTGCGCTCTGCTCATTTCCTTTCTCCTCCCGCGAATTTATCATCATTCACGCTCAATTTCTCTTCTCAATTTCCTCTTGTTATGTGTCAAATGACTTAATTTTCTGATAGTGTCGCGCGAGGCCTCATTGGCCTGTGAGAAATTATCATGGGGCGCCTTGGAGGTGGTGGAGGGCTGGTGGAGGTGGTGGAGGTGGTGGAGGGCTGGTGGAGGTGGTGGAGGGTTGGTGGAGGTGGTGGAGGTGGTGGAGGGCTGGTGGAGGTGATGGAGGGCTGGTGAAGGTAGTGAAGGGCTGGTGGAGTTGGTGGAGGACTGGTGGAGGTGTTGGAGGGCTGGTGGAGAGCTGGTGGAGGGCTGGTGAAGGTAGTGAAGGGCTGGTGGAGGTGGTGGAGGGCTGGTGGAGGTGGTGGAGGGCTGGTGGAGGGCTGGTGTAGGTGGTGGAGGGCTGGTGGAGGGCTGGTGGAGGGCTGGTGGAGGTGATGGAGGGCTGGTGGAGCTCCCTCCCACCATAGCGTGAGGGCGGAGAGAGCCAGCACCAGCCGCGAGACTCTGGGGTTGAGGCGATATAAACACATAAACTTCCACCTGCATTAGGGGCACTAAGGACTTGTGTCAGCTCTCAGTGAATCACCGCAGGTGGAGCCACACATGCCAAAGTGGTGGCCGGCTTAGCGGGGACCAGGGGGTACAGCTAGGGAAGGGGGGGGGGGGTACGGATACAGCTGGGGGGGGGGAGGATACAGCTAGGGGGGTTAAGGGACACTTCCATGTCCAAATAAAGAAATGACTGACGATACAACTGATTTTTCTACTGTATCTAAGATGATGTTAATGCACGAACAATCTTGGGAAATCGTTCTGGCATGTGACCTCCCCGCGTAGTTATGTATACGGCGGACATACATGTCACGTATGTATAGACATTCACGGTTGGAATGTGCCCCTCTGCCCCCCGGACACGACTTCCTCTCCACCACAACACAACTCTTCTACCCTGTACCAACACTTTCATTATTTCCATTTCTTAAAACCCCACCACCAGCACCACCCACCACCAGCACCACCCACCACCAGCACCACCCACCACCAGCACCACCCACTACCACCACCAGCACCACCCACTACCAGCACCACCCACCACCACCTTCACCTACCACCACCTTCACCCACCATCTGCCAGCATCGTCCATCCTCAACACCATCCACCACGACCATCACCCACCACCACCATCAACTGCCTCCCCCTCTCATTCACCACCACCATCACAGAAAAGATAATGAGGTATGTGAGGAACACAACAAAAGAATTCAGGAGGTCTTTACAATAGAACCAGCAGAGAGACGAAGGTTGCGAGATGAAAGCCTGATAGAAACAATGGAAGACATTGTAGTCACTATAGAAGAGGGAAGAAAACACCCGAAGGAATTAGATATTACAAGATCATTGGGTCCAGACCTAACACTTTAAGGCAGCAGAAGTACTTCAGCAGCCTTAGTGCGATTAGGTTTGGACCCATTGATTATGTAATATCTAATTATAATATTTGTAATAAAAAGCTTATGACAGGAAATCTCCCAAATTTTTGGATATACGCTTGGAGTCACAGTCAGAGAGAAGGTTTCAAGTTGGAGGAATGTAACACAAGGGGTCCCACAAGCCTCAGTCCTGGGACCACTGCTGTTCCAAATATATGAACGACCTTCCCGAGGGAGTGAGCTCGTACATGTCAAAGCTTGCAGATGACACAAAGTGACGAGGAATGTAAAAATAGAAGAGGACTGCAGGAAGTTGCAAGATAACCTTGATAAACTGCAGGAGTGGTCAAACCTGGTTGCTGGAATTTAATCCCAATAACCATAAGGTAATGAAGATGGGAAAGTGAGAGCGGAGACCAGGAAGCATCTACGCCTTAAAGGGAAGACAAAGGAATTGGAAAGAGAGAAAGATTTGGGAGTGGATATAATTCCAACACTAACACCAGAGACACATAAAAACAGGATAACATCGACAGCATATAGGTTGCTTGCAAATCTAAGAACCTCGTTTACAAAAAATTATGAATGTTTGCAATAGGAGTGGTGCCAGTAAGCTGAGAGAGGCAGAGCTGAGACAATAAGTTAATGGAACTAAATCTCACAACCCTGTAGGGCAGAAGGTACAGAGGGGATATGATCACAACATACAGGATAATGTGAGGAATATATAATGTAGACAATGACAACATCTTCACATTGAAAGAAAGTAGCGCACGATGATACAGCTGAAAGCTGGAAACGCAAATGAGCCGAAGGAAAGGATATATAAGGAAATACTTGCTCCTTGTTCGTTTAATCAACGAGTGGAATGCACTAAAAGAAGAAGTTGTGGAAGTCACCTTCATCCACAAATTTAAGACCAGATTTGACAAAAAATTTCAATGTCAGAATAGTTATCTTGTACCGCACCGGGTACAACAAGGTTAGTTGTCTCACTTCCCTAAGGGGTCACTTCTAAGGGGCCTCGTAGCCTGGTGGATAGCGCGCAGGACTCGTAATTCTGTGGCGCGGGTTCGAATCCCGCACGAGGCAGAAACAAATGGGCAAAGTTTCTTTCACCCTGAATGCCCCTGTTAACTAGCAGTAAATAGGTACCTGGGTGTTAGTCAGCTGTCACAGGCTGCTTCCTGGGGGTGGAGGCCTGGTCAAGGACCGGGCCGCGGGGACACTAAAGCCCCGAAATCAACTCAAGATAACCTCCCTGTAGACGCTGTTAAGTTAGCACTTTTAGGTAAATACGGACTACCAAGTAAGATCCAGGTACCACAATCACTTACTATCCCCCCAACGACTCCAACAGCTCACCCACCACAACCATCACTCACTACCACCAGCATCACCCACCACCACCACCACCCACAGCCAGCATCACCCACCACCACCACCACCATCACCACTCTCAGCCTCCGCACCACCATCATCCCCAACACAACATCTGGGAGTTTAAGAGACACTCAGCTCTTACTGAAGAGGAAGCAATCACGAGGGTGTTAGAAGGGCCTCAGCGAGCGGGGTTTAAAGCTAATGCACGGACCTTTAAATGTTTGTAAACACGCGGAGAAGACGCCTTCCGCCCCGTCCCCTCCCCGTGAGGCGCAAGGCACCATCACCCTTGTCTCCGAGGCGCTCCGCTGAAATGCTTTTTGGACTATAAAACCATCTGATGCTAGTGTTGGCAAGGCGTTAAATGGCATTTAGTGCTGGTCCGCCAGACTCTTGTCCCATCGACCTGATTTAGGAGAGAAGTGGTGAGATTTTGGGTTTGTTTTCGGTGTGTTTGTTACGTGTGATGCGATGCTGTGTGGTGCTGGGGCGCAGGAGATGTGGTGGGTGTCTTTGTTCACTTTGTTACGGCTCAACTCTCGCTACTGACTTGTCCCGGGTTGTGACATAGCCGCTACTGGTTTGTGCTAAAATATGCGCCATTCACAGAGAACAAGTCCCACTTAGCATTACATTCAGGGAAGAAAAGTCCCGCTTCTCAGACCTGTTAGAGCTCCTTGTCGAGTAGTGAGCTTCGACGAGCAGGAGAAGTGAGGCTTCTTGAGGTTATCTTGAGATGATTTCGGGGCTTTTTTTTTAGTGTCCCTGCGGCCCGGTCCTCGACCAGGCTGCAGAAAACACAGCCACCAGTGCTCCACATCCGCCCTAAATCGCACTCATATATGAACATGATATAACGGAAGAGACTGACTCTTCAGTGGTCACAGATGATGTTGAACTATTGAGGATGATGGTTACCTTGAGGTGCTTCCGGGGCTTAGGGTCCCCGCGGCCCGGTCGTCGACCAGGCCTCCAGGTTGCTGGACTGATCAACCAGGCTGTTGGACGAGTTGGGGCGAGCGATGACTGCAGGATGCTTCAGGATGACCTGGACAACCTGCTCTACTAGGGTAGTGGCTGGTAGAGTTCAATCTCGGTTTAGATGCAGGACACCAACTGTGGCGTGTGTGAGAGCTGTACTCCAGTACTCAGCCCACCTCCCATGTCATCGGTCGTTAAGGCACACTAAGAAACTCCAGACTTGTAATTATGAGGCTTAAGATTTGAGGACAGACTGTCGGAACTGAACACTGTATGACGCTTGATATATAAGTCAGAAGATACATGATACTGACTATAACATATTTAAGGGTTACCTTACCTTGAGGTTACCTTGAGGTGATTTCGGGGCTTAGCGATCCCGCGGCCCGGTCGTCGACCAGGCTTCGTCGTTGCTGGACTGGTCAACCAGGCTGTTGGACGCGGCTGCTCGCAGCCTGACGTATGAGTCACAGCCTGGTTGATCAGGTATCCTTTGGAGGTGCTTATCGAGTTCTCTCTTGAACACTGTGAGATGTCGGCCAGTTATGTCCCTTATGTGTAGTGGAAGCGTGTTGAACAGTCTCGGGCCT